TATATATATATATATATATATATATATATATATATATGTGTATATATATATATATATATATATATATATATGTGTATATATATATATATGTACATATATATATATATGTATATATATATATATATGTACATATATATATATGTCTATATATATATATATGTATATATATATATATGTATATATATATATATGTATGTATATATATATGTATGTATATATATATGTATGTATATATGTATGTATATATATATAGCTTTTCGTAACTGCTGGTATAAACCTCATGTAGAGAAGCTAATGATTTATGATGATTAGTTTTAAATAAGTCCTTGTAGTATTGGCAATTTACATTTTTTTTAGTATATATATATTATTTGGAATAATGTTTATAAATATAAAGATTTCTTCATCTAACTTGATTCCATCTTACTGTTATACAATACATGTCAACTAATCCGAAAATGTGAATCAAGTTATTTGAGTTATTTGAGGGTAAATTGTATTTTGGTTCATTTAATGTTCTTCTGTTTTCAAAACTACTTTTGTATTGCAAAAGGAAAATTTGATTTACATTTACAAGTAATATGTTTGTCGTGAATATGACTTCAGGTATGAAAGTTACCTGTCGGCTAGTCCTTTCGGATATTCTTTCCTTACTGCCATGATGGCAAGAGGTCGGTATTGCTAGACTCATTATCAATCTCCGCCTAAGCTAGTTGAGAAACTAGTCATCACATGTGCACTTAGATCGAAAGGGCACTAAGGAAGGAAATCCTAAGTTGTCATTTAGTCAAGTAGACTTGACACGGTGATGAGAAACTCATGATGTTAGCTTGCACTTGTTAGTGTTAGGAACCCCTACGATATTAAGCTTGGTCCCTCAATATCGCTAGATGATAGCTTACTATGTCTGCTAAATACCCTCACTATTATGCCCTTTGTGTTAGTCTCATTTCAGTCCCAAATGTTATTTATGGAAAGTGTCCAGATTTGCTCATTTGGCATATCTAATAGAGATTGAGAATTCTGTTAATAATTTGTTGCAAAAAGCATAACATTCATTCATTCATCATTTACATCCTGGATACTAACAAGCCTCAACTTTTGATTATTTTCACTTCTTATTTTCTATAGTAGAGTAGAAAACACAATTAAAGTGGCATTATTCCCCACCCACACTCTCTCTCTCTCTCTCTCTCTCTCTTTGTGTGTCTCTGTGTGAGTTAATATAGTGTATGTTTTTGTAAGCTCTTGAGTTTGGACTTCTTGGGAGTCTCTCTTAGTTAACATGGTGTATATTTTTGTAAGCTAGGAGTCTCTCTCAGTTAACATGGTGTATGTTTTTGTAAACTCCTGAATTTAGACTTCCTGGGAGGTCACTCAACCTAATACTATTCAAACCTAAAGACGTTTCACCCCAAATATCCCAAAACCCTTAATCAATTAAAAAAAGGGGTGCTCTTTTGTTCATAGGCCCTTTCCTTCTATATTTGAACCCCATGGACCGTCTCTCGAGTCATTCCCTTTGGTTGCTTAAAGTTTTGTGAAAATTTCATCTTTATTTTGAGGTAGATCTAGTGAAATCTCACCCAAACCCACTCACTTACTCCTTGCATTGGGCTTATATTTCAGCCACATCTAGCAAATTTTAGTAATTCATTTTAAGGCATGACATGTGACAAGCTACATAAAGATGACATGAAACTTCAAAGAAAATTATAAATCTCTTGTAATGGTGTAAGGAGGGTGGCTCTCCAACAGATCTAATATTCTATCTGATTGGGCATCTAACTAGTTGATGTGGCACCAACCAAGTTTACTAGTCACATTCAATTGTTTTTATAACTCTAAAGCCTAGATCACTTCAAACCTTAGTTGAATGAGCTGAAAATCCTAGGATATCTGCAAAACAAAGATTTAGGTTGTCATACGGTATTCAACAAGCAAGCATGGACAATTTTTAGTGTTGTTCCAAATGAGCGTCAGTCATTTGTGCTATTGCTGCAAATGGCCAGAAGCACTGCATATTCCGAGGGCATAATCAAGTAGTAGGCTAGTTGGAGTTTTGTGAGCTTGGAACATTCATGCAAGTACAAACCAATGCATGGATGAGAAATAATGGGCTTATTTGCTTCCTTGAACACTTTGCAAGAGTCATCCTAGGTGGCATTTCTCCAACAAATCAAGCTTGCATTATGATGGATGGTCATGGCTCTTATAACAGTGAGGTTGCTGTGAAGAAGGCATTTGAGTTAGGAATTGATATTTTTTCATAATGCCACCTCATACTTCACATCACATACAACCTCTTGATGTGTGCTGCTTCGGACCTTTCAAGGCAGCATTCAAAGCCATCCATACTGAATGTATAGAGACAGGATTTCATGGACACACTCTAACAAAGATCTTAGCAGGAATGGTGAGAAGAGCACTTGACAAGGCTCTAACTTCTGCAAACATCATTGCTGGCTTTAAAAAAACCAGATTCATGCCTATTGATTGTGCAGTTATGGATGCCAAATTTCATATGGCTGTAGTTCTACAAGGCATAGGTAAGAAACTTTAAAAAGATGAAGATGACAATAGCGATGATGATTTGGAACTGTTAGTAAGCGCTACAGTTGCTATGGATGTAAACTATACAATGGAAAAAGCTGAGAAAAGTTGATGGGATAAGGCAATATTGAGGCAACTTAAGGTAGAACAAGCAGCAATAGAAAAAAAAAGCCACAAAAATTGGAGAGAGAGAAAAGGAAAATGGACAAATAAGTTGGACTTGCTGTAAGGAAAGTTTTAAAGAACCTTTACAAGCAAGGATTAGAAGTAACTATGCAAGAATATAGAACAAACATCTTCTTCCAGTCTCTTCAACAAGACCTTGAGCTAGATCTTGAGCCTGGGGAGAAAATTCTAGTGCCGTGCCAGGGGCTTCCTTACAAGTAACTACCTCTACTCATTGATTCTTAATTGATTTTGCATACCTCACTTACAATAACTTTGTGGACAAGAGAGGCAATAGCCAGCCCCAATATTGATCCATTGTGGCCAAAATTGAACCTCTTGTTATTGGTTCCTAGTTGCCTTGTTATAGAGTGATTGACTATGGTTTTGAATGGTTAAGCTTTATATTTTTGTACTGTTTTCCTCGCTTGAATATATATGAATTTCCACCTTAAAAAAAGTTTTGGAGATAGCCCACACTAAGCATATGCCATGAGAAAAATAAAATTTGATTAGAAATTTAAAAACTTACACATTAAGAAATTCTGATCAGTTGAAGAACACCCCCCTTTACTTGATCTTTTTGCTTGTTGAGTTCACGTCCTCCTGGCCAACTTTGCCACCTTCTGTTCATGTGGTTTATTCTTCAAACAGGAAATTTAAAAACTTCATTTAATTGTATACGGCACCACAAATGGGAGTTTTAATTAACTTTCAAGCCTGTGTAGCTCTATGAGAGTCACTGCTGTGATTCCTAGGTCTGCACCTCTCCTGACTCGAAAAGCACACACCCCCACACACTTTTCTCGTCAATATCTCTGGCTCTGTCTCGGGCAGTGTGGTTCTTCTTTTTCCCTAGAACCTCGATAGGAGAAAGTTGGTCTCTGTTTGTTTGCTAGCTAGGCAGAGGGAGATAGGCCTAGAGAAGAGCGAGCAAGATAAAAAAAAGAATTAAAATTCCTCTCTGTCTGTCAACAATGCAGTGGAGGCCTCGCCAGTGTTGATTCTGATCTGATCCAGGTCCTTTCTTGGAATTTTTCTTGCTTGGTTCCAAAACCATACTGGGTTTCTGGAAAGGGATCAGAGTTTCCAGGTCGAGAAAAGTAGAAAAAGAAAAAGGAGAACAAGAGAAAACAATGCCTGGGTTTGGCTCCTCGTGGCTCTCTTCGTCCCCATTCAGGCAAGTATAGTTTTGAACAGTGAAAATGGATTTGTTCTGTTCTTTTTTTGTCTTTCTTTTATATGCTGTGAATCGATCAAATCGAGTGTAAATCTTTGGAATGTTTCCAGGGGCAAACGCAGCACGGACTCATCGTCTCCTGCCAAGTACCAGCGCTCAGCAAATGCCACGACCAAAGGCGAGCAGCACACGGCAAAGCAGCCAAAGTTTCAGGTGCGTGTGCATGAGCTTTCATTCCATTTCTTTTTACCTTTTCTTTCTCCTGAGGGAACGCCCCAGAATCTAGAAGGAGTTTTGTGAAAAAATTTAATGTTTCTTTTCAAAACGAAGAAGCCCAGGAAACTCACACAAAAGCTTCGCTGTGTTTTTTCTCTTTGTTTTTTTTTTTACAGTTCCAGACTCTTGTGTTCAAGGTTCAAGTCCATTGCGATGCGTGCATGGGGAAAGTGAAGAAGGCAATTGCCAGCATTGAAGGTAAGGATCTCATTTTCCATTAGAATCTTTCAGTCTATAAAAATCCCTCCTTTGTGAAAATTGTAGGAGTTGAATCGATTTCTGTCGACTTGAAGCAGAAGAGGATCACTGTGACGGGTCACTTTGATCAGCAAAAGCTCCTCAAGAGGGTGGCCAAGACTGGAAAACAGGTGGAGCTCATCACCAACAAAGATGGAAGCAGCAGCAAAAACACCACCACCACCAACAACAACGGCATGATCGATCAGAAGCCTCTCATGGTTTTCCCGATGGATTCCAGCGCCACAGGAGCAAACGCTCCACTTTTCTCCCTGCAATTCTCGCCTGCCGAAGCCATCAACAGCAACATCAACAGCAGCTTCATGTTCAGCGATGAGAACGTAAACGGCTGCTGCATCATGTAACTTTTGTTATAAAAACATCCTTGCTTTAGCCTTTGTTTTTAAATCCTACTTCCCTGATCGATCGAGCAGATGTCAATTCGTGGCGTGGCATGGATTTTTTATTCGCACCCGCGAATCCAGCATCCCTCGGGGAACCAAAACCGTAAAAAAAAAAGAGAATAATCCACACCCGGAAAAATCTTCCCGTTTGAGAGGGATCAAACTCAAGTGCCGGCACGCAAGGATTTCAAACGAAAACCGTGATGATGTTATCGTACAATGGAAAGAAACATAATCAAACGAATCTAATGCTAATCTCTCAAGGAGATCATCAAGAGGTAAAAAAAAGAAGAAATGAGCCAAAGAGCTTACATGATAGAGCAGCTGTTTGCATTGTCGTCGCTAAACATGTAGTCCATGTCGCTGCGAACTTGGGGTGTCACGCGATGGATGTACGGAGCCATATGAGCGGTGTTTTGCTGCGACCTCTTGTCGACCTGGATGGTGTACGGCTTGGTCGTGGCGACGTGATGATCCGCGATGATCAGGGCCGGCTTGCTGTTGTTGCTGTTGCCGCCGCCCATGTGGCTGATTCCGGACGAATCTTTGGATCCCACAAGCTCCACGCTCTTGCCCGTCTTGGAGACCTTCTTGAGCACCTTCTTGGGGTCGATGTAGCCCGTCACGGACACCTTCTTTTGCTTTTGGTCAACGGAGATGGAGTCAACACCTGTTTGAACGGTTTTGAATCAGTCCGGGCTGGATCACGATAAAAGATCTTTGAACATATACCGTCAATGTCTGCAATGGCCTTCTTCACCTTTCGTATGCAAGCATCACAGTGGATCTGAACCTTGAGAACAATGGTCTGCGAGAAAAGTATAAAATCACAAAGGAGCAACGGAAAGATGAGGAAGCTGCTGTCCAGCAAGAGCAGAGACTTCCATTCTGTACCTGATACTTGTTCATTTTGTAGGCTGGCTCCACCTTACCGCCCTTGTTGTGCTTCCCATGGAGGGAGTATAAGTTGTTGGTGTTGCGATAATAGTCCGAAGATTTGGGAGTGGAGTAGTAGACAGACTTGCCGTTGTTTGCAGCAGCAGCAGCAGCAACAGCGACGGCGGCCGGGGAGTAGTAATTCTTGCCGGATTTACCATGGCGGCTGTGGTTTTGGGCGTGGCCGGGCTGATGGGACGAGTAGTAACTCCCCTTGTTGTTACCAGTGGAGTAGTAATCCGGTGACTGGAGGCTGGATGAATCATACTCTTCCAGTTCTTCGTCGCTGTAACTTACGTCTGAGAAGTAACTCTTCGGCGACCCCTTGCTCTTCTTCCCTGAAGACTTGTACATTTCCTTTCTTTCTCTCTCTTTCCCTTGTTTTGCTTCTGATCTGATCTAACTAGAGCTCTCTATCGAGGAGACGAGAAGAATGTAGAGCTTAAACTACAGGAGGCGTAAGAAACACTCGAGACTGGAAGTCTTTATATATCCTCGATTGATTTGGCGCTGCTGAACAGAGAGTGAGTCTAGAGAAAGAGAAAGAGTGCACAGACAACATGAGCTCTACGCATTCTCAGGCGGTCAGGGGACAGGCGGTCTAGCTAGCATTAGAAGGACCTGGGAACTACACTTAAATGCAAAACATCCATGCTTTGTACTTAAGTCTCCTGGTTTAAGTAGTCGGTCAGGTGTTGGCTTAGATTTTCACCAGTCTTCCAGATTTCAAAATCTATCTTTTCTTGAAAAGAAATCTTACCTAGTATGGATTGAGACGTGTGTCCATGGTCGGCATGCTCACACTGTCTTGGAAGAAGGGTCCAACGAGAGGAAGCCAACACATTAGAGAATGATACTTCTAAAGAAGGGTATTATGGTGTTATGCCACCTGTAATTAATTCTCGATTTTACGAATTTAAGTTAAACTAGCATAAATATTACTTTATTTTAAACAATTTTGAATTTAACTATTGTGTGATTATGTGGTTTGTGTAAATGATAATGGATATACTTGGAATATGCTTGGGTATTCTAGTATATTCTTATGTTTATTATAAACATATTTAAAATTTATAAAAGTTCTTAAGCATATTTTACAATCTAATGGTTTTGAGATTAATCTTCTGTTTATAAATTATAAATATTATTATAATTTGTTTTAAATTTCAATGGATAAATTTTTTATTTTTTTTTGCATTGAGACTTCCTTATGGGCAATTGCAAATTTGAAGTTGAGGATCATGTTAGGGTCTAGTGGAGCTCAATATTAAACTTTTCTATGCTGGATGTTAAAAGATGTAAATGCAATGTCTATGAGAATTCTTAATTAAAAATTCACATCTTCTTATGCTCACAGGAATAATCTCTAAATTGAAATCTAAGTATGTGCTTTAAAACCATTCAACATTTCCTTTGGATTCTCACATCAACTTTCTCTAGTTCTTGCATGGTGAGAATCTATTACACTTTGGACACGTTCAAGCAATGTGGTTATAAGAACAACTAAATCTATATATCTAGTAAGGTGTAAAAAGTATTCAATCCTTGTTTGTAGAAATTTAATGATTTCTTTTACAAATCCATTTTTTTTTTTCCTAAATTACTTATCAATTTGTAAATTTAAGTATAAAATATTTTATATCTTGATAATAGAAGAATTTATATGACTGATATAAAAATACTAGCATATTGAATAAATTATAATAACAATTTATCATTTATGTCATAGTACGTAATATCATACTCCCTTATCTAAATCTACTTTTCACATCTAGCATCTAGGTGTCACATATTCTTTTTCTAGAATATTAGTAAGGATTATGCTTTTGATCTAATGGTTGAAATTTAAAAATTCAAACTATGTCAAACACTTCAATTTGACACTCTAATCAAGTTAGGGTAATAGCACTGTTTATTTTGTACTTTTTAGCTTGCCAAGAATTGGGTGTGCAATAACAACTAGATCAATCAAGTAGACAAGATCAAAATCTTCAAATTCCACACATAGGTGTTACCTACCTACAGGTAAGTATAGACACTTTTACTTTCTTTATTTCCAAAGACAATTGCTATTGTAATTGCAATGGAGCTAGTGTGCTTGGTGATTGATTGTCCTCAGACGAATGGATTGGATGGATATGAGAATTGGTAGTAAGAGCATGAGGAGTTATACCATGTGTTATAAATGCTACTATCAACTAAGTTTGATTATTCAACTACAACCTCATAACATTGAGCAATCACATTAACTATTACTCCAGAGTCAAAGAAGGAAAAGGCTATTGCTCTACCATAAAGATGAAAGAAAAAATAAACAAAAAATAAGAAATTGAAAAAGCTATAAGGAAAGCTCAATTTAAATAAAATCCTAAATCCAAGCACTCCTCAAAGACAATCAAAATTGCCCCTTACTTCCACCAATGTGAATGCATGGAAGATAGATTGGAATATAGAAATGTGTATATTAATTAGCCCAAAAACCCTAGATTATATACAAAAGCGAATGGTCTAAATTGAAATCAATCCAATGGCTATCAAAATCCCACTACACTAATATTAGTATACGGCATCATAGCTATACACTTTGACCATAAAACACAAATTAAAAACTTAAAATATTTTTTATTTGTGAATGAATTTGTGAATGATAATGTTTATATATTTATCCATCAACTTTTCTCTATTTTGAGCTTGTATTAAAATCATTGATTTTATTCTCTATAGCCAAGTGAAGGTGCTCTAGATCCTCCTCCCAATTTAGCTAAACATGTAATCTGACCAGTCCAAGGACAAAGTCAATCAATCAAAATTTTCAAATTCCATAGCACACCCATAGGTATTACCTACCTATAGGTATTGGCTCTTAGTAAAAACACCTTTACTTTCTTTATTTCCAAAGACAATTATCATTGTAATTGTAATGGAGCTAGCGTATTTGGTGATTGATTGGTCTAGTCAGAGTTTTTATATGGAAATCTTGGGGTTGATATGTACTATTGATTTGATTACTTTACAATGATTACTATTTATCATTCTTGGGGATGATGTTTGACATTTGTGTGAGTTTCCCATATGTCTCTAAGGGACAATATTATAATAGTATAATGGTTTTAGCATAGCCATTTGTGCGGATAAGAGCATTCTCTCAAATGTCTTCAAGTGTTAATGTTTGCTTTTGGAGCCTCTTGCTTTATGTGGAATTAAATATGTCGGAGTGAATCAAGTTAGGAATGTTATTACCAACACTTTATCAAAATTTTGTGGCACTTATGTATACACTTACTTTAACCACTCTTGATGATGTTTTTCAATAGGCACAATACTATAAAACATCACCTCTTTTACTTCTCGCTGCATGTCCTTTAGCTCTAGTTCCTATGGAAGGTAATCCTATTTCGATAGAAATTGATGTTGCTATTGCTCGTGTTCAAGGACAGGAGCAAGAACTTGGTCATAGCCATGATGTCTACTATTGGGCATATAATGAGATTAACCACACGTATTGGTGTTATTAGTGTTTTTTGGATTGGTTTTTGGGTGGAGGCCTTGGCATCAACAACATCCTATTATTGCTAATGTAACAAAAGGTTTTGACATAAAAATTCTCTAGGAAATAAGGAGTTGTATGAGTAGTGGATAAGCTAGTGGAATTCTTTTAACAGTACTATCAAGGGGTTTATTCGGCATTGGTTCATCTAGTGTTTACTTTTTAAGTTCATTTATATAATAAAAAGTCTCCTATTATTCTCTCTATGTTGGTTGATACATACTCAAATTTCTCTTCTATTGCTTGCTTTGTTGTTATATATTGTTGTCTATAATTGCATCGTTGTGAGACACAAAATCCCTAGGCCCCAAAGTGGAGCTGGAAGGGTGCCACGTGGTAGTGGCCGAAGCGAAACCTAAGCGAGCGTAACACGTTTGGACTAAAAGCTCCAATTGGAAAGGTCGTGAGTGGGAGTGGAACTCCCAACAAAGTGCTCGAGGAATGAGCATGAAGCAAGCAATAAGCAAGGCTCTAAAAAGGGACCCAAAAGGACCAACACATGACACGTGGAAGTGTCCGAGATGGACCCGAGATGGAGTCCAAGTTGGAGTCCCAGATGGAGTCCCAGATGGAGTTCGAGTTGGAGTCTGAGGTGGAGTCCGAGATGGACCCGAGATGGAGTCCGAGATGGACCCGAGATGGAGTCTGAGATGGAGTCCGAGATGGAGTCCGAGGTGGAGTCTGAGATGGATCCGAGATGGACCCGAATGGGGTTTGAGGTGGAGTCCGAGGTGGACCCGAGATGGACCCGAGATGGAGTCTGAGATGGGACCGAGACCAAGACCGAGACCGGGACCAAGACCAAGACCGAGACCGAGACCGAGACCGAGACCAAGATCGAGGCCGAGGCCGAGACCAAGCCCAAGCCCGAGTCCGAGTCTGAGTCCGAGTCCGAGTTCGAGCCCGAGTCTGAGTCTGAGAGGGTGAAAGCCCAAAGCGTTCGTCTCCCAAACCCTAAGGGGTTTGGTGAGCTCCAAAAGTATAGTAAGGGGGAGGACTACAGTGGAGCCAGTTTGGCCAGGAAAGGCTGTACCCAGTGTTGGGTGATGAGCTGCCCACTGGGAAGTCCAAGACTAGAGTGAACATGGACCGACAAATGGGGTAGCTTGGTGAAGTGTTCAAGAGCCGGCTTTAGTTCCCCCGAGAGATGGACTGGCCAATGCTCCCAGTCCAAGTGTGGGTGGCACTATCTACTTGGATACCTGGTGTGGCTCAACGGAACCTCGCTCTAAGCCCATGGCTAGAGCACCCAAAGGCGGAAGGTGGGGAGAGTACTCACGAGGCTTGCGTAAGGCCACGATGTTCCGAAATGTTGCCCCAAGGTCCCAGACTATGAAAAGGAAGAGGAGCCATCCTATAGTGTAGAGACCAAGGATACGGTCATGTGAGGAGGAAGTCCTAGAGAACCGTGGGACTTAGTGGTTGGGCATGTGGGCCTTGATCTAGTGGCAGTGTTAGCGAACACAGCCATGGGCAGAAAGGGACTTGGTGGGGACCAGAAAAGGGATATTGGGGAAAGCTATTCCCCATGTCTATGGGCATCCTAAAGATGCTAAAGAGTGGATCTGGAATGATCACTCATGGACGGATGGCCCAGTCTTTGAGAGATGGGGCATGATGTAGGTGGTGTCATACCACCAATGTGACCAAGGTGAATGGGCATGGCCTTAGCATAATAGGCTGATATGTCGGTGGTACCTTGGGGTGTCGGTCAAGGGATCGAACACGTGGAGCACTTGGACCAAGTGCAAAAGTTGAGTGGCATGGATGCCATTCTCGGGGCTAGCAAGCCCAAGTCCAAAATAGGACTTATGGAGGTTGTGAGTGAGACTCCTCCAAGTGGTCAGAGGTGTGGTTAAGTGACTAAAGTAGAATGGAAAAAATTAGTCGCTTACAACTTGGTATCGGAGCTGTTTCTTAGTCCGACTCTTATTGGTGGCCAAGTATATTACCACTTATATTGGAATTGGAAAATCCTAGGTATGGACCTATCCTCAAGGAGTAGCATGTCAAAAGGACATGGCTCTCCACTCGAGTTCATGCGTGAACTTGTGCACGATGTGGTGGATGG